TGTTTGTGTGTATGCATGAGAGAGAGAGAGAAAGAGAGAGTGGAAGAGAGAGGGAGAAAGAGAGAGAGACTAGAGACAGAGAGAGAATTAGCTATATATCAATATAAACACTAACTTCCGTGGCATTTTTAAAGTCTGTTCTTACAGCTCCCGTCATGTTCTCAATATCGTCCTCTTTTATCCTCAGAGAGTTCCCATAAACAAAAACGCACGCCCAACACGAACAAAGGGTCAAGCGCCACCTCATGGCACTGGTCAACCTCGCTCATTTCACCTGGCCTGGGAGTAGCCACCTCGCTTTTGCTGACCAATCTCGTCTTCCGCCGATGACATTACTTTGCTATATTGTCCGAGTGTCAACAGCAACTGTGAACATGTTTTTCTAGTTAAAAGAGAAAAAAAGAATATAAGTATATTTTATGAGCAACAATTCTTTTTTCACATTGGTAGTATTCTGAACTGACTCACGCCCTGAATATATCATTTTATGCTATTAAATTATGCTTTAATGCTTTCATGTTATCGCAAATGTTATCATTATCATTATCATCTTCTTCATCATTGCAACTGCTATCTTCAATGCGGTTAATATCAATATTACCATCATCGTACATGTCAGCGGTATTATCATTATCCTATTGCTGATGGCTCTCAATCTTCTTCGTTTGGGTGAAGGCAGTCACCACCAACACCAGCTTTATCCTCATGGCCGTCGTTGCTGCCCTTGTTGTTTTAGCTTGCCGCACCATCACAATATTATACTACGTTTACCATTGCTAAAACAACTGTCTTTCTCATCTGCTGGGCGTTTTATTCTTGCTGACATATTGTTATGATCATGGTAAAAACTTCAATGTCATGCTTACTGCAAAGGACAAAACAGCTATTGCTTTTACCTTTATCTCTACCTTCACAGCTTATTATAAAGAAAAAGCCGCACCTCTAGAGGCCCTACAAGCACTTTTGATAGTGTTGTTTAAGAAAATACATAATGAATGATAAAATATCATATTATATGGACACAAGGTTTAGCTTTCGTTTTATTGATTTCTAACAACTGCTCTGTGTATCATTCAAGAAGAAAAGTTAATAATAATTAACGTCAAAGGCAAGAAACTAATCTGGTCCAACAGTTAGTCTCAAATGCGAGCGATTTGACTTACGTTGCTTCGACGGATGTTTTTTGTTTTTTAAATGATCAGAGTAACGGATACCTTGAATTGAACACAATTTATGATGTGGAAGAGTGAGAACCAAGGGACCAAGCTCAAAACCTTTAAAAGGAGTGACATGTCCGTTAAGATTATTCGTTAGTCTGGTACTTATGCTACTTATAACATACACAGTGTATACAATGTCAGACATCCCCCTCATCTCACCCTCTTCTTCTCTTCACTCTCTCTCTCTCTCTCTCTCTCTCTCTCTCTCTCTCTCTCTCTCTCTCTCTATATGTGTCTCTCTGTCTCTATCTCCTTCCTCCCCCCTCTCTCTCCCTCTCTCTCTCTCTCTTTTTCCCTCTCTCTCCCTCTCTCTCCCCCTCTCACTCTCCCTCTCGCTGTCACTCTCCCCCCTCTTTTTCTCTCTCTTTATCTCTCCCTTAAATTATAATTGATTAACATGTTGTAAAGGCATTACGCTGTTTTTACGATAATGCATGAGCATCTTGGCTATTACTTTTCAATCTGATATGAAACATAGTATGTTATCTCAAATGTATGGGTACATTGCACTTCCGTATGCTTCTGGGCGAAATTGTTCTATTGCGCTCACATTACAAAGTTTGTTAATGATGTTTATTATATTTTTTGTGTCATGTCTTTGCTCAATGATTTCATCTAACTCACAGTTCTATAAATCATGTAAAATGCCACTATGACAAAATCATGTTAGTTATAGAAAGAGTTATTTAATTTTACTAAATATCTTTGAAAAGGGAGAAAAGAAAACTTTTAACCTCTTCTGTTCACTTTGAGATTTTAAACTTTTTTATGTCTCTGTGTCGGGGATGGATTCAAGGAACGAACATTTCAAAAAATTGTGTCTCAGTTTAAGCTGAAATAAAGTTTGTTTACAATGTTGATTTTGAAAATAAACATTATATTGAATTTGTTTTTAAAACTTCAAACAATTAAAGAACTGGAAACCGTTTGGTTATTGACACAGTGCCGAAACCAAATTCATCCCAACTTCCTATGGTGTCATGATGTATCAGTGATTTTGTCATATTGCTAAAATTTTTGTGTAAATACTGTAGGCTAAAATTTTGTCTATAATTTGTCCTGTGCTATTAATTTGTTGTCCATGAAAACGCAATGTTGTGCTGAAACGGTTGTGCTTTTTCTGCTCCCAGAAACTTTTTCGCCATTTCTTACTGCCATTTTTATTCCTCAAAATACTTACAAAATGATATTTTCCTTACTCTTTATAGGATGTTTGTTCACCATATTATATTGAGGTTTAATGGTTCACTAACCATTGTACATTAGTGTTGTGACAACACAGGTTGTGCTGAAATTTCATCGAATATTATATTCGGTTGTGACTATAGATGAAATTTACATTCTTTATATAACTAATAACATTTACTTCCAGAGTAGTTATACCGATTATATACACTTATTTCAGGTTTATTGACAAATTTCATATTCTGAGCATTCCACTGAGATTTCAAAATTTTAGTTTGGTTCATCATTATTAGACGGTCAACTTTGCATTCCACTTTCACAAAAATGTTAACGGAGATCCACAATGAGAATTGTACAAAAATTATATCTGTCAGAGGTTGTGAAAAGGTTTGGTTTGAGAAATCTTTACATCCCTGAAACTGAATTCTGTTTGTTCGCAATTCTGTAGATACTGAGTAGCCTACTTGGTGGACATATATCGGTCAAGGAAGTGACTATTTGAAGACTTGCCTTGTTGAGGTTCTCTTCTGTTACAGGCGTAGTCAGCTACTTTTGTAGCAGTATTTTGCCTCAATTTAAGTTCTCCTTTTATCAAGACCAAAGCTAAACTTGAATGAAATATACATTTTAATTAATGGTGGTATCGTTTCTTTACAATAAAAACAAAGGAGACCTCCAGTAATGAAGCATTATTAAGAATAAAATCATGGCTTTGAATTGAAGGAGTTTATGCCGAAGAGTGTGTTGGTTGGAAGAGAGACTGCTGATGGGGGAAAATTACACATATAGCTATTACAGTATAGAAACCTTTGGTACAAAGTAATAATCATTCTTAAGGAAATGTCACTTCAGTCCCGGATTGTAAGCAAATCAACTGCTTAGTGTAAAGCTTCGCCATGTGCCATTTTGAAAAGTGGCATATGATGGAGTTTAACCCTGGGCAATCGAAATATCATTTTAAAGTGAACTTGAAAAAAATCTTCCTGAAAATGTAACTACAATATGTATGCGACGATGAGTATACACTGAGTTCTGGGCGTACAACCCTATGAGACAACTCATGTCTGTAGTGTAACAGATTAGCTCTCTGCCAAGCATGCAAAAGTAGTGAGTTGATCCGCCTACCTGCAAGAGGATGATCTTTTTGGTCTTTTCTCCATTTTTCTGATGGGCTCCGTCCACACTTTGCAACAGAATTATTAAGAAATATAAATTCAAAACTCAGAGTTGACCCTTAGAGACAGATAGTAAAGTAACTATCCCCTTAGATTGTCTAAGTTAAGACGAAAAGTATTAAAAGAGTCATTGAAGTCATGGAGGCTTTGGTGGAGATTTTGAGATAAAGATACACAGAGTGATGAGTCTAAAGTGAATCAGGACGTTAAACTTCAAAATTAAGAACAACAAAAAATAACCTTAAAGACAGTTTTGTTGGATTTCCATAATAGTTGCAATTGTTACCTCACTGCAATAACTGTCATTCTATTGTTGCACCATTTATCTTGCACCCATATTCATGACGCTGTGTAGTATTGATGTCATCCGTAGCAACTCTCTCTGCTCTTTGCCTATTCTCTGTAGATCGATGGCAAATATGTCCTTTGAGTATTAAGCGCAACATCAACATTTAGTTCATACGTTACTTTTTGAGATAAGTCTATGCTGTAGGAAAGCAGGAAAGCTTTGAGAATTTATTAGTCTTTGGGTGAAAATGATCTTCTTTCCTTTTTGCTTACAAGTACACAAATCTGACTTTCAAAAGTTTAAAGAAAAATATTTGTTTACTGCAAACAAGCAAACAAAAGCATGCTTCTGTTATATATATATATATATATATATATATATATATATATATATATATATATATATATTACGAAGCAAAGCAGAACAAACACATTTTGGAATAGATTTTTCTCTTTTTTTTTTACTTTTGAAGAGACACATAATTGCCAGCATATGCATTTTCAAATGTAACATACAGACGTTTAGACGGACATAAAAGATTATTATCATGTCTTAGTCCAGTCATCACCGTTTTACAGCAGAAAAAAATAAGCTTGAGGCTTGGATAGGGTTGGTCATACTTAATCAGATGTTCTTAGTCCAGTCATCATGATAATCTAGCTCCCTTACCTGTATGATGACCACTATACCTCCCGCCGTTGATTGGACTGGAGAATGGGCTATAGAGCAGTACATTCTGTGGAGTGTTGAGTGTATCCTACAAAGGATCAACATTATTCCAAGTCCTCATTCGCAAACGGTTGTGATCTGTATCAAGATATTTTTATATATACAGTTATTATACTAACACGGTGTTGTGAATCTTTACCAACTCATCACAATGTCTTCTATATAATGTAACTTGACCATTATAAACATCATCATAATATTATATTTTGCTTCTGTAAGTTATCACCACATTGTCATCCTATCATAATTTGATAAGGCAATAGCGTTCACAAACGACATCTAAATCATGATGCACACTGTATCGCTCTACCGTTTGCCCTCACATCCAGGAAATCATTTCTCCGCGTTCTCTTCACCACATCATGTTTTCCTGAAGTTCTTTGTACTCATAACACCATGATCAATCTTCATGATACCATTCATCTCATCATTCGTATCATCATCTTTCAAGTTAATGGCAATGGGGAAAACATTACGGAAAATGAAAAAACTCTTTTTTTGGAGTTAAGTGGGAATTACAAATAAACTAATGTAGGTGTGCAAAGAGAAAATCCACAGACATTTCTATGAATCTATAAACTCTACTATTTCTGCTTCACCAACAGAAAGAAGTATAGCATCCTTTGATCTTTTAAAATATCTTTTTGGTAGCTGAATACTACGTTATGAGTCGAGTCTTGACTACATTCAGGTTGGGAGCTAGAGTCTGAAGTTGACAGTAATAAATCAGAGTCTTTCATTGAATATCTTCATCACAAGCCTTAGTTTAAAAGGGGGTGGGTGTTGAGTGATTCACTCATAAAATAATGTAACTTCAACCAGCGCAGCGTACACCCCTATCATTGAAAAAAGGCATAGCGCTGATCTTTTAGGTAAACCATATGCCATTGCTGCTTCAGTTTCCTTTTCTGGTAATGCCCAAAACTTTTGTCATCCAATCTGCTTCTTGAGAAGAGAAGCAATTCACTTTTCATTCATTCTACTGCTGACTTCATGTTTTTAACTTTTCAATTTCTTGTACAAAATCATATAAAACTCGTCAAATCATTTTAAGTCTGCACAATCATCATTGAGTCAACATTTTGGTTGTCTAACCTAGGTTTACGATTGAGATTTTCTTGACAAGTGCAAAATCGACATGTGAAGGTAACCTAAACCTTTCTTCTGAGGAGGCCTCATCTATGGATAAATATTGATTAATAAGAAATAAACAAATGGCAGGGAAGCAAGATTGCTTAAAAATGTTCACAACAAGGCGAGTTCTTCCTCAGAAAGTG